CTTGCTTGACAGCTTCCACGGGCCACCAATCGCAGAATTATTTGCCTTGAACCGTTACTGATTCTTCGAGAGTTCTAGGTTTGGTTCTCGTTCTCGACCATCCGCACAGACCCTCGAAGAGAGCCACTTTTGAGCCCGAGCTTAGCTCAATACGGCGGGACCTCGGGTTGCTAGTGGATGCCAAACTGCTGCTGATTGGCTCGAGGCCACTCTAGGGGTTGCTTGTGAATCCACATCTCGTCTCCGCTTCCGAGTTTGGGGATCTTCTGCGCCCAAGAATCCAAACATTCCGGATCAGCTCAGCTCACGAAGTATCCGCATAATGAACCGCTGCGCCAAGACCACGTCAAGGCCTCACGCTCATCCATGGCGAAGCAAATGTTCCGGTATGTGGGCGTTACAGTTTCATTATCAACTAAGTCAGCCGCAAATAATTTGAGCGACTTAGGTTCTCAAACATTCCAGAATATCAAAACAGTCGGACGAAAGGAACGTCGGTGATTGTTCTTTCTTTGGTATTGAATTGGGTAGCATTGTCTTTCAAACTCCTAGCGTGTTCTGTGTTTGTTTTCAGAAGAACAATGCGTTTGATCAAACTTAGAACAACGCCCTTGCTCTACCTGAACAGTCGCTCGTTCCCACCGGTGCTGGCAGTGTTCCAGCGAGCCATCAGAAACACCCTACTCGAAGCGAACCCGGGGAGTTTGGCAACGACAGTATAAAGGGAAAAAAATGAAAAAAAAAAAAAATGAAAAACTCTATGGATCAGACTGCACTTAACCGATAATCAGCGCCCCTCTCCCTCTTGACATGAACGCATCAACCGGCAAATAAAACAGGAAGAGTTACCCGCACTCGCAAAACATAGCCATGGCTGTTCATCCCAAACTTGTGTATGTCAAGAACACAGTCACGCCCAGCGGCCATATCTTCCCGCTGAGTCGTCAAGCGGCCCAGCACTCGGGCGTCCTCCGTACGCTCATCGAGGACTTTGCCGGTATTAACCGCTCCCAGAAAGAAGACTCTATTCCCATTGAGATCGACGTCAGCGAACAATGCCAGTCCGACGTCCTGGACTGGGCCGAGAAAACGGAAAATAAGCCCGTGGTGGAAAGGGACGCCGAGGACAAGGAGGTCAAGTTCACTGACGTAGATAGCCATTTCTTCCACGTGGCAATCCAGACGTCCGAGATGCTGCATGACCTCCTCGTGCTCACCAACTACCTCGACATGGTGCCGTTGTACGGCATGGCATGCCAAGTCGTCATCGACATGATCATGGGCAAGCCGGCGGAGCATATTCGCTTGACATTCGGGCTCGAGAGCGGATGTTTCCTGGAGCATGAGGGAGCCAATTGCAAGGAGACAGCGTGGGTGTACTACGAGCAGCAGACGCAAATGGTCCCTGACAATCAGCAGGTTTCGATGGCAAGTGCTGATGTGTAAGAATACAGGTGTGGCGAACGAACGAGGGTCCAAGAAAATGCCGCCGACGGTACCGTGAATGATGCTCGATTGTGCATCTAGTTGGGTAGGTAAAAGTTTGATGCAAGTAAGTCAAACACATTTTCATCTTGGATAACAAGGTAAATACGTAGATAAAGCCCCACTGCAACTTGTTATGAAGTCGTGTGTAAGTGACATTGGTGAGATTGACAGCGAGTCCAATATGTGACAGACGACTTGACGGATAGGGATACAGTCCCCTTCTTACTCTATTCTAATGTCTGGATCAAGACGAAGAATTATGAGACTTGTCACAGATGTTGGCATCCGCTTTTACTTGATCAAGGCGGCGCAAAAAATTTCTACGTAGCCCCAGAGGATCGAATTTTTAGACCGTGTAATCTCAGCGTGACCAGAAGTAAACGTGCCACTGTTGAGCTTTTTAATGTATTGCTGCCTCCGCGCCGCGCCGCACGCCGCTTAGTCAGTGCACGGCATGGCATCCTCCAGCAATCGGGTTTCGGGATACGGACTGCCTGTCTGATTCCGTGCCTGCGATGATAGCGTCGGCGGCCTTGGGGTCGTCTTGGTCTTGTTGCTCTCGCGTGACCCGAACTCAGCCTCCAGAAGCGTTTCATTTGTTGGCGCCTCTCTCGTCCTTTTGCCGACTTTACCGCACATCGGCAGTTGAAGCGGCTAAAGCGCGTTTGAGATTTCACCAACACGGCCCCCAATACGGGAAAGATTACGGGGTCCTGTTCGGCGGCTGTGCAGGTGCGCGGCACTGAGTTGCGCCTGCGTCCACGTTGAAGCGACAGCCGCCAGTCTTCCTCTTTGAGTTTGGGCCAAGATGGCAATGGCAAGTGTTGGGGCCCAACCCTGGCGTGCCTGGGCACAAAAGCGGAGACCGGCGGTTGGTGCAAGCCACTGGGGTTTCTTACACAGTATAGCAGAGGCGTGCTTGAGTTGGATCTGCACTGCTGCAGTGATTTGAAAAACCGTCACCTGCAGCCCAATGCGCTTGATTTTGATCGTGTGTAACGAGATAAACCGGAGGGTACGTACCGTGGCCCGCTCGGTGGCTCCGGATTTCCCTTAGGTTGTAGCCTAAGAGCTGAAGCCGTGCCGCATCTCGGCCCCCATTTCAGACGGCCAGAGAGGGAAGTTTTCGATGCCTGTTCCACGACTCCGAATTGAAGCGAAACCCCAGGTAAAAGGTCGCCATAATATTTTCTTTGCTCGTCTGGAATAAATGGACAAGGTACTTACCCTTGCCGACTGTTTCGGCACGATAATTGATCAACAGCGAAAAGTACAAAATCGGCAATGCAAGCGCGAATGTTGGTTCTTGGATGTTGGTTCAGTCCCCGACTGTTGGTGATTGGTGCACGTCGGTTGGCTTGTCTCACTCACACGCTTAAGAGCTCCGTGCCGCCATAAAACACCAGTCGGTTCGCTGTGCCGTAATCTAGAGCTGGCATCGCCCCAGAGGCGTTTCATTCATCCCAACTTGCGCCATTGTATTTGTCTGCTGTTTCTCCCCGGGAACTGCAGAGATCCATCTCACTCGACCCTTTGTCCCTGGAAGAGCCGCTCGACAAAACCTCCAATCTTGAGTGCAGCCATGGAAAGAAACGCAAGGCGGCGGGTACGGCTCTTGCTGTTTGTTAGTATGAGTCTTTTGGTTGAGAATGTAGTAGCTCAATCGACATGCTACAACACGCGCGGGGAGGAGGACCCAAATCAGCGACCATGCCGTGCGCCAGGGGCAGACACAGGAGCGGCGACGTGGTGCTGCAGCCGGGGCGACACCTGTCTTTCAAACGGACTCTGCTTGAGTCCCAAGTCAAACAACCTCATGACCCAACAAGGATGCACCGACAAGAACTGGGGCGGATCGTGCAAGAAGTATTGCCCCGCCAGCAATAGTATGCTCTTATTCTTAATTGATCACCGAAACACAACGCCCGGCCATTGACTAACGCGCCGCCAGACCAAAGGCTCACCGAAATCCCTCTCATTCCCTGCCCGGCCAGCTTCGATAGCGCTACGAACGACATCAAATTCTGCTGCGGACCCGACCCGTCGACCTGCTGCCAGAGGTCATCCTCATCCTCTTGGATAACACTCCCGAGCGGCACCATCATTCCCTCACAAGAATCAGACAGCTCCTCCATATCATCCTCCTCCTCCACCGAGTCCAAATCCGACTCCCGAGCTTACTCGCTCAAGATCGGGCTGGGAATCGGATTGGGGATCGGCGTGCCCATCCTGCTCGTCCTCCTCGCAGTGGCCTACCTCCTGGCGCAGCCGCTGCACTCTCGCCGGAAACGGGGCCGGCGAGGTCGAGGCGGTGGTGGTGGCGGCCGCGATTACCACAAGCGCAGGGGCAGCGGCGGCAATGGAGCAACAGGCGACGACGCCAAGACGGAGAAGACATCCGACACATCGCACACATACCCGCCGCGCTCTTACTTCGCCAACCACACGAGAACCACACCGCGGCGCAAGTCTTTCGGTAACCACGTCGACATCGAAGGACGCGCGCTCCCGCCGCCCCCGCCGCTGCCACACTCAGACGACGAAGGCGACCATCATGATGACAACCACGCAGCCGCCTGGCCGCCACAGATTCACCACGTTCAGGGCGCCCGCGGTCTCGCCACCATGCTGGCGCAATGGGCGCGCTCGCCATTTGGCTTCGGCGAGCTCAATCCCCCGCCGCCACGGCCCCAGAGTCCCAGGGAGATGGACGGGAGTGAGGGTGCCAGGAGTGGAAGTGGTAGCTCCTCAGGCAGAGGAGGAAGCACGCCGAGCCGGCTGGGCGCGGCCGAGCTGCCGTCGCCAGATCTGCATCAGCTCGAGGAAGGAGGAGGTGGTGGGGAAGGAGCTGGGGCCCATGGTTTTGTTGGTGTTAGTGCGGGGAGAGGGGTGTGGAAGGTTGCGAGGCGGGTACATGTCGCTGCGGAAGAGGTTGAGCTGCCGACGCCGGATACTCCCCAGCGACCAGAGAGGGATGTGGAAAGGGGGTTAGGCGGGAGGTGACCAATGCCGAATATTTGACTGTAAGAGTTTATGCATGAAGGAGAGGACGGATATATAGGCATCGAAAGGTGCCCGCTCGTCAGGGTGACTGAGCGTGTTTGCATATCAAGCACACATACTGTACGTGCCCGTAGACGGCACATTTCATTTCATTCCATGTACCTGATACATCCTGCGAGATCAGGGAAAAAGGCAAAATAAACAATTTATCCAACAACCACACTGCCCTTTATTGTCTGTTTGGTCTGTTTGGTCAACGATCTACATGGTGCACGGTACGTGGAGAAGGACTCGGGGGTTAGGGTGTCAGTCAGAAGCACCGTGGCGAGTGAGGAGAGGCAGCAAAGTTACTCGTCTGAAGCCAGAACGATCCCAATACAAATAAACCCAAAAAGCAAGCCTTTCGCGTGGTTAACAGCGCTCTCAGGCCTACAAACATTCGCATCCTCGCGTGTAAGCGAGCGCATAGAAAAAAGAGAGTCAAAGACAGGAGTCGTAGACGGGAATTGAGCCCGACGTGGGGGTCGAACCCACAACCTTGAGATAACCTGAGATTTAAGAGTCTCACGCTCTACCGATTGAGCTAGCCGGGCGCTGCTCGGCTTCTTTGTTGGCGGCGCAAGTTGGGAAACAAGTAAATATTGGAGTGGATGGTTTGGCAATGGAACAGGATCTTGATACAGACCCCCTTATTCAGTGATCTCGAATGTTCAAATCTCTAAACTCTCCCCGGATACTATCAATACCGCTTCTCTTCACCTCGCTCACAAACTCGCTAATGCGCGACGCGATGAGGTTCTCCTCATACCCAAAATACTTATACGCCGCTTCACCGGGAAGCGAATGGCCGAACGAGCTCATCGAGTAGCCAGCGTCGGCGTAGCGCTCCCACCCGTTGGCCGCGTACGCCTCGATCACGACGCGGGGGATGCCCTCGCGGTACCGCAAGACCCTGGTCTTGTATTCACGCGGCTGTCGCTCAAAGAGCCGCTGACAGGGGAAGCTAACGATGCGGGCGGCGAGGCCGAACCGGTCACGGAGAATCTCGCGGGCGCGCACGGCAAAGCGCATCTCGGAGCCGACGCCGATTAGCGTCACATCGGCGTTGTGCTGCTCGATGAAGATATAGGCGCCCTGCAGCACGCCGTCCCGGCTCGAGTGGTCCGGATACTGCGGGAGGCTCTGACGCGAGAGCGAGATGATGGTGGGCATATCGAGTGCCGAAAGGGCCGCGACGAAGGCGCCCGCCGTCTCCTCGCTGTCTGCGGGGCGAATGTACAGCAGATTGGGCATGGCACGGTAGAGGGCGGCCAGCTCGATCGGCTGGTGCGTTGGTCCGTCCTCGCCGGTGCCGATGCTGTCGTGTGTGGCGATGTGGATGGCTTGTAGACGCTGAAGAGCTCCCATGCGCACAGCGGGTGCTGCATACTGGTGGAGAAAAAGAATAACCTGTCAGGACTTGGAGTAGGAGGGAGTGTCCTTACCATGAACCGTTGGCTTACCAGGTAGAACATGAAAAAAGAAGATGTAACCGGGAGAATGGTGCCCTTGTTAAAGGCAGCAAGTCCGTTGGAAATAGCTGCCATGGCGTGCTCTCTAACTCCCCAATGAATGTAGCGACCGGTATAATCTCCCGTGATGCCACAGGAGGGGCGAAGGTTTGGCTAAGAATTGCGAGATGTGATGGTCAGCGAATCTCAATTACCTATCCTCCTTCGGCAAAGCCAACTCACATGCTGAAAGTCAACTTTCCCTTTCCAGACCATGTTGACACTAGGGGTCAAATCCGCGGTACCGACCATCAAAGTTTTCAATCTCGCAGCCAGTGGATTGCATACGAGCCCGGCAGACTTTCTTGAGGCTGTGGGCGTCGCGGGAAAATTCTCCTTAGCCGGGACTATCTGGGTCCAATCCTCTGTAAACTCTCCCTTGACGCGCAGAGCAAACTCGCTCGCCAGGTCCAGATGTTCTTCTCCATAGGCTGCCACCAGCTCAGCCCAGTCATTCTCCAGCTGCCAGCCGTGACCTTTTACGTCGCTGAAAAAGTCATAGACAGTATCAGGAATCACGAAGGAGTTTTCCGGGTTGAAGCCCGCGGTTTCCTTAATGTTGGCAACCTCCTGGGGGCCGAACGCGGCACCATGTGCCCTTGCATCGCCGGCAATTCTGCTCCCAACACCAATTGTGGTCTTGATGTTTACGAACACGGGCTTGCCGCTTTTGCTCGAGCGAGCCGCGACGAGAGCAGCAACAATGGCCTCGACATTGTCGTTTCCGTCGGCGACCTCGAGCACCTCCCAGCCCGACGCGGCCATCTTGGCGTTGGCGTCTTCGGTGTTGGCCAGGTCGACCGACCCGTCGCAGGTGATCTGATTGTTGTCGTAGATGACGATCAGGTTGTCTAGTTTCCAGTGCCCCGCGAGCGAGATAGCTTCGAGCGCCACGCCTTCCTGCAGGCATGCGTCGCCAACCATGCACCATGTGGTGTTGCTGACCAAGTTGAAGCCTGGTCTATTATACGTAGCCGCCAGGTGCTTCGTGGCCATAGCGAGGCCAACCGCATTGGCGATGCCCTGACCGAGCGGCCCGGTTGTCACCTCAATACCATCGATTTCAATTTCCGGGTGGCCGGGGCAGATAGAATCCGTCCGCGTTGAGTGGTACGACTTCAGCTGATCGAGTGTCATGCTCTTGTAGCCAACGAGGTGCATAAATGTGTACTGCCATAGGCACGTGTGACCTGTTTGCGTCTCATTTATCAGGATTCCGAATGTGAACCAAAACTGCTGAGGAATATCTTGCCATTTGAAAGTACAAATCGATCGCGGTTGAAAAAGTTCGGGTTTTCTGGGGAATAACGCATCACATATTTCCAGAGTGCCACACCTATGGCCGCCATTCCCATAGCACTCCTTCAATACAAGGCGTTAGTTAGCTGTTGTAAGTTTCTCTAGAGTTCTACTAGTTGAATCTGAGACTAAGCACTTACCCGGGGTGGCCGCCCTTAAATTGTTCACACAGGTCAGCGATGAGACATCGGACAGTGCGAAGGACAAGGTTCGTAGTTTCGGCATCTCTGCGTGAGAAATTGACGGCTATGCTCTCCAGGTGATTGAATTTCTCTGTCGAGACGAGATCAGGAGCCGGATTCCTGTTAGGTTTAGCTGATGCTTGAGCCATTGTTTTATGATTCGATAAGGAACGATCATCTGGTAGTATCTCTAGCTGTCCACTGCCTCGGAATTGTTTCGTCCTTTAACATCCCCTCCCAAGTCGCGCTCTCCGCACGACACGCCGTTGGAAACCATTGGTGCTCCAGCGTGGGCATACTCGCCTTCAGGTCAAGGCGCCTCTAGCTTCCTGTTTCGAGCCCTTGGGAGCTATAAGCGCGTGTAATTCCCCACCAGAACGGCATTAGAGCGAGTAATTACCTGCTGAGACCGAAATGTCAGACCGCGCTACGAGTTTCCACATCCCCCGTCTCCACCTTCTGAAGTTCGAAGCAAGGCGTGTGTGCTAAAGCCAAGATGGACAACAAATTAGGTCAAGCGCCCCAAACCCCCTGTCCAGGTTGGTCACTTCTCTCGCGCTTCGAGTTGCCCGTCACTTAGGCTCGTCCGACTAAGGGCACCGCAAACCGTTCGTTTGGATATGGAAGCCGGAGGATAACGAGAATTCAACGTATATCAGTACCTTTGAACAAAACGTTTCGCACCCCTTTTGCTGTTCCACCATGTTTGGCCCGTTGTACTTCGCTCGTCATAAATCCATTTTTTTTTTAGAGAGTGGCTTCGTAATCATACGTAACGCGGAAGATGTCGCCCTCACTGACACAGACGGTGGCCGATGACAATCTGCACCAACAGACTCCGGCGACCGCCTCCAGCAATGGCCTGTTTTCGCTCTCCAACAAAACGGTGGTCATCACCGGCGGCGGGCGCGGCCTCGGAATCACGCTTGCACGCGCAGTGCTCGAAGCCGGCGGGCACGTGGCCTGTCTCGACATCCTCCCGGAGCCTGCACCGGCTGAGTGGCTAGCGCTTCAGAAAGTTGCCCATGCGTCGGAAGGGTTGAGACTATCGTACCGCCGGGTGGACGTGACAGACGAGGGGGCTCTAGCAACCGCCTTCGACGAGATCGATGCCGAAGACAGTGGCGCACCCTTATTTGGCTGCATCGCCTGCGCGGGAGTCCAGCAGAAGATACCCGCACTTGAGTACCCGCAGGCCGACTTTGAGCGCATTCAACGCGTCAACGTCACCGGCGCTTTTCTCACAGCCAAGCATGCGGCTAGGATTATGGTCGGAAATGGCGTCTGCGGGAGCATCGTCTTGGTCGCGTCCATGTCGGGACAGATTGCCAACCGGGTGAGCCAACCTTCCCAACCAGCGCGCATTTTCCCAAGACAGTTCATAACTATTAACACAGTGTTTGTGTTCAGGGCCTAACCTGCACCGCATACAACGCCAGCAAGGCGGCGGTCCAGCAGATGTGCCGGTCTCTGGCCCAAGAATGGGGCGCCTACGGAATCCGAGTCAACACGCTATCGCCCGGGTATATCCGCACCTCCATGACGGACGAGCTGCTTAGCACCGCGCCCAAGCTGGAGGGGATATGGATGGCTGGCGCCCTTTTAGGCCGGTTGGGTACCCCAGACGATTTCAAGGCTCCCGCTGTGTTTCTACTAGCTGACGGGAGTTCGTTCATGACGGGTGCCGATCTGAGGGTTGACGGAGGGCACTGTGCATCAGCCTAGTTCAACGGCATTGATGATAATCATGCGATACCAAGGTCTTCTTCAGTCGCCGTCTAGTTGTGACCAATGCGCTTTCAGATCTTCCGCCCTCCAGTTGGCTCCCCACCCAGTTTCATTCTGAATCCGTTGGTAAATGTTCATGATCGCTCGGTGCTCGGCCGGGTGCGACATCACTTGACCGGCAATCCACAGAGGCTGGACCGAGTTGGTCCAGCATCCGTGGTGCGTGTTGCAGATTGATATGGCGCATATCCTTCGGGCGTGCCAGAGGATAGGGCGAGTTGCAGGTGGTAGGACTGCGCGGCGTGGCCTTTTTTGTAGCATTAACAGCGCCGCTGTGTGGTAAAGCTGGTTCCCGGATATGGCGGGCGGGTTGGAGAAGAGTAAGGTTGGAAACGGGGAGCCCGAAGTGACAGCTTCGTGCTTTGCGTTTGCTGGCTGACTCAGGACCGCGTGCATATCGGGCGGTCGTTGAGCGTACCATCTCTCAATATGTCCAAACAACTCACTCCAGCGCCGCGTATACTCAGCTTCCGGATCATCGCACGCAAATAGCTCTAGAGCTTGGGCACAGAGAAAGACCACAAAGTTCGCGTACATGTCGGCTCCGGGTGTACGGTGGAAAAGCTCTACTGCCTCTGTCAGGGACATCTTGGGTGTCCATTCTGCGGTCGGAATGAGCGTGGACTCAGATGAGATGAGGCCACCACATACATCTGTAATTTTAGCCCGAGTTAGCTACCTCATTGTCAGTTGTAAAATAGAGTGAAGAAGTGTGTAAGGAGAATGGATAACGGACCCATCCTGGTAAAGCACCAAAACAGAGCTTGTTCCAAG